AGGGGATTCTGCACTTGTGTCTTGTCGAATGGTATAGGAAGTATTGCAGGCAACTCTGCATTTGTGTTTCAGAGAATCGCAGGAAGTGTTTGTCCTGTTTTCTCTGAGGCTACATGTTACTAAAGGTCAGACCTCTGGTATCAGGGAAGGTGAAAAGAACACACAGGAAGTGTGTCCTTTGTGTATACCATGGTGACTCTGAGGTCATATTTACAGGGATGAGTAAGAGGTCAAGTGGGCTAATCATTATTTTGTGAATTGTGACTAAGCATTGTTAATTGATTTGAAAGGTTTAGAATGTGATGAAGTCATATTTTATGTTTAACAGTGATATCAACACAGTGTTGATGAATTGGTTGCAGATACTTCAGTTTGTGGGGATGATCATGTCATTCCAGGATAATCTGTTTTAATGAGGCTAAATGAAGTTTAATGTTGAGCCTTGAGACCTATCACCCATGCCTTCCCTATTTTGTTTAATTATTTGGTGTTCCATCTGTATAGTCCTCTCATTATTAGAGATTAGAACAGCTTTAAAGCCTTATTACCATGGTTTTACTGTATAATATCCATGTTGCACACGGGGCTTCGTAATTTTATAATTATGTTATTATGAACTTTGTACTATATCAACAATACAAAAATAAATTTCTCCAGAAACTGCAGTCGACTGTGGTTCTGTCATGATTAAGGTGTGATTAACCACAGCATGTGCATTACATGTGCGATGAATGAGTGGTACACTTGTCGAGTGTGATGTGATCGTCTTTGTCTTCAGGTTGTCTGACATGGCATGTACTAGTGTTTATATTTACAGACAAATCTCTATCAAAATGCTCCAGCAAGCTGTACACAGCATGGAAGATGATTGAACCTTGACCTCTGACCTTAATGATTACATCATCAAATTTTTATGCAATTCAGGTGGACACTTGTGTTTCATGAAGGAAATCTGCGATGAAATTTCAAAACCATGATTTTCAGTTTTATTAATTTCATGCTGGTTTAAGATAAAATATTTCTCCAGAGATAAAATGTTGTAACTATGTTAAATTGGAAATCTGAGTGAAATGAAAAAAATTTGATAGCATTTGTAACTAGGGTATTATTGTCAGCATTGCTGCTGAATTATAATGATACGCTGATAGTGGTGTGTATAGAGCACTTAAAGGGATAAGATAGAACAGAATCAGGAGGAGTTCTTTCAGAGATAGGTAGTGAGGAGGTAATTACCAGGCTTGTCTGTCATATACTGCACCTCTTACACCTCCTTAAACACTGACATTTCAAACTTGGCACTAATTTCACTTCCTATATACACAGCCGTCATTAAAACACAATTGCAAACACAGGCACGTTCGAATGACCCTGAGCTGTCAATGACCTTGCCTGTTAAGGTACACGATGCTGTAAATGAAAATTGAACCAAATAGTTATATCACTTTTCCACAAAAAAGTGTGACTTGCAACTGTTTGTTTTGTGAATGTGAAAGTAATTACATGTGTGAGAAAGATTTGTCATAGTGCCAAGTAGTGTCGTACTAATGGAATACATTTAATTAACTCCGAACTTCAACAAACTCTGCAACATCAAAAACTCTGTTACATCACAAAAACATGTTTTCTTAATTAATTTCTGAATGCAGGAAGAATGTACAAAGTAATCTTTTGTTAATCTTGCTCGCTAGATCTCGGCTGTTCGTCAATTTATTCATTTAGAGACCATTCCGCAGCAGGTTTTATAAGTTGTTCAGATCGTGCAGACGAAGACTTTGGTATGGTTAGGTAGTCCTTAGTGGTCCTTATTGAACTGTAAGCAGATCAACTAATTGTGGAGGAGTATAAAACAAGCCTCTATGGAGTGTTTAGGGGGATTTCTGTACCAGGTAGGTAATACATTATATATGGAATTAACAGCCTTGTAATGGTTCCCACAGGAAAGGCAGACTGTAAGTGATCTACTACACAAATTGAATGGAAGTTTACTCTTCAGAAATGGTAGAACTTCTCAAGATGGAATAATTATTCTCAGTGCTGGTCTGTGGTGGAACCTGGCATTGTAGGGGCATTAACAGGATGTAACTTTGTGTATAGTGAGAATAATGGGCCTAGTTCCTACCAGCATCTATTGCGTTGTTCTTTGATACCTGCATCTTATATACGGTGATTTATATTCACTGCTAAAAGATGCACCTTCTTCCCATTTTCCATATCCAACAATCTTCGATTTGTGATGAAACTCTTAATAATTCATCCCCGTTCAGCAATGTTTTAGAATGACAATGAATATCTCATTAAAGTCTTTTAACAACGTTGTTTTCTTCGTAAACATCATTTATAATGGGAAATGGTTTTTACCTACTAAATAAAATCTTATTCCTGCTGTATGCAGATTGTTAGGTCATGACCTATGTGCAAGGCCAGAGGTTAAATATGTTGTCAAGTTGGCAGTGACACCCTGGCTGTGGGCAAGGGCATATCACAGGCCTGCTGTCTCATATACATGTAGCCATGCTTTATTGTGTGTGTCTGATCATTTGTTTACCTGTGTTTTCCTGTATTTGTGGACAGGTTTATTCATTTGTTCAATTGACTTTCAGCTCTCATATGTGTGGGAGATGGAAGATATCGGTCTGTGATGGGTCAGAACTTAGAAGGTCATTGTCCAGTTTAGCTTAGGTCACCCTAACCTTTGTTATTCCCATATTTACCATGCAATATTGGTCAATATATCAGTGAAACAGACCTGTGGGAAATTAGCACCAGCTAGAGGAGCATCTGTTTGTTTAGACCAATGACTATTGATTAAAGCATGCATGGTGTTCGTAGTGAGATACCCTACACAATTATAATATAAATGAAAAATTAACCCAAATTCATTTCAGTGAATCCATCACAAATGCAGACTTTAAATAGCAGAGTATCATTTTGGTCATTCAGTCAAGACATATTCTGAACATGTTTTTCGTCCCAAAATAATAATTATTGTCTTGCCTATTTGATGGAAAACTGTTGGTTCAAAAGATGCTCGCATTGAATAAGTTACTGCTATTCCTTAAGGTGGACCTGGTATATATAACACCCAGAAAAAACTGTTGACATAAATTTACTGTAGGATAGTCAATCACTCTGTAAAGAGACAATAGGGCTTGAAATAGAACTGTAATGATATTAGGAACCTCTACACATAAGTTGTTTTTCTCTGACAATTCTACTACTATTGTTACATCATTATAAGGCCTACTTCATGTGTTAGGACCATCTAAAAGAATAAAAATGCAGAATTAGATATCCTACAATATCTAAGCTGCATTTAAACCTCATCAGCTGTTAAAAAATCTGTTTCAATTACATTCTAAAGTTTTAAAACTAGCTTTAATGATAAATAAAAGTAGAATTTGTCTTCAGTGCTCTTAAAGGCAGTGTCCCTAGTGACTTTATATCTAATTTACAGTGTTGTTATAAGGTTGGAGACACAGACCTCTCTGCCACACAAACTTCATCAGTGAGTAAAGTCATAGATGAAAGAGCATACTCGAAAAACCTTTCTTTTCTTGTGGATGATTTTAGTAAGAGTCAGAATTCGATTTGTAAGCCTTGAACAAGTTGATTATATTACTAGATAGGTTATCAAGGAAGTGTTGTGTATAGGATATCTTACTACAGTTTCCAAGGATACACAGACCTCATCACAGGAAGCTGACCTTCATGTTTGTAAGATAACATGTCCTGGAATTGTTATACTTTAGAGAGTGCATAAGAGAATAGAACCTGCTGTCTTCACTTCATGATCGTAAGAGGCAACTGAATTTAGGATTTTGAAATCTCTTCTTTCAGAATAACTTTTCTTTAATTTTTACTGTGTTGTTATATAGTGTGTCTACATCTTGTGATTCTGTTCACAAATCAACACTGTTTACTTATAAAATTAGTCTTGTGTATATAGGGTGAAAATGGTACTAGGTCAAGTTGACACCTCTGATTTGTGTTTTCTGGAAAAAGAGATAAGATTCTGATATCAGAAGTGTCTGGAACGGGCGTTAAAAGAAAATATCTTCAAACCTTGTCCCAGTTTTGTGAAATCACATCTGATACCTGTCATTGATTGTAGAAATTCACTTCCGCTTTCGAGGCAAATTGTGATATTATTATTGATTTCATTGTTCTGTAGACATGTAGAACTTACGACATATTAAACCTCTATGGAGTAGACATGGTGTTCGTACTCGGCTGTTTAGGAGTCGCTGAGCTCCTAATTATGTTGTTTAGTGGTTGTGTAAACAGTTAAGAATTGGATATGTTTCATACAAACGTGCTTTTGTTTAAATTGGATGATGGAATTCCACTGATGAATCGTGGTTGCAATATCACACACAGATGTCTGACTTGAGATGCGTAAAGCTTCTGAAACAATCAGATTCTCTTGCAATGAGCCATTCCAGAGTGAAGAAAGTGAAAACATGCGTGATAGCAGCTTGTCTGTTGATCTGTAGAAAACATTTACAGTTATGAGGGATTTGTTTTTGTATATGACAAGAGTTTTTGGGATAGAATATCTGTCTTGAGACTACAACTTACACAAGTTACTGACAGCATACATGTGAAAGATTCAGTAGCTGTGAAAACTCAAGACGTGATAGAGATCTCTGGAATATTTCAGATGTCTATCAAACAACTTTCTTCATTTAAGAACACATAACTTGTATCACAGCATTGCATACTTTGAGAATCCTGAAGTGCTGAGGTAATGTTGGATGTGTACATTATAACTTGTTGATGTTTTTCTCTATAGCCTAAAACTCTAGTATTTTGTATTGAGGCTTGAAGCTCTAAAACAATACCTGATTTGTCAGTTGTTTCCGTTGTTCCAAGGATGTTCTGTATTTGAGCTCTAGACGAGCTTTAATTTGTTAGTTTATCTAATCATGGCATGTGGCGCTGTAATGTGTATTTTGACGAATGGATTGCGTTTAACTTGACAAATTCATTGTATTTTTCAGATGAATGAGGGCAGAAAAAGTCAAATTGTACTGCCAGATGAAAGGATATTGGATATTCTTATACAGGTAAGCAGAGTTTTTATAGGTAAACTACTCCTGGAATACAACTCCAGGTTGCAAATTACTGCATGCATCATTTTACTATGGTTACAAGTAATTTGTGTGTCATTGCTTGAATGCAATTCTCGGAGACATTTACCAAGTTTAACAGTATTATGGTGTTCATTATCGCTTTGTGTTAATTACAGAAATATTTAAAGAGGGAAAATTGCAGTAACCATTGTATTTAAGATTATTTCAATGAATTGAGATTAATTACACAGTAGTTTTCACATTAACATAATAATGATTCTAACGTTAATTTTACAGTGAATATTCATTACATGCTTACTATTGATTAGGTAGTGAAAATCATTTTGAAGTTAATATATGTTACACACTAATATTTATTCATGATTGATAGAAAAAAATCTAATGTTGATATGATAAGAAAAAGAGTTATGTAAATCCTGTTATTTCAATTGACTTTTTGATTAAAAATTAAAAAGAAAATTTCAAACTGCAACAGAATGCATTGAATCCTAGTAAACTGAGATCAAATTGAAGTAAATAAGAGTGTTTGATTACGATATTAATTTGAGCTTAAAATCTCCTTAGAAATTGGATCAAACCCTTAAGATTATTTGATCTTGTCCTTGTAACTTGAATCTTGCTGTGTATGAAAGTACAGAGGTTTTTTTATGTCAACAAAGTCTTTAGGGTAAAACAGTAGGGGAAATGATTAATCTTTTATGCAAGACCAGGGTCATTGAAGATGTGCTCAATCTCTTCCGAAACAAAAGAGGCATAATACTTCTTTGATGTAAAGAGGGTCAAAGGTCAAGGTCACAGAAGTGACAGATTTTCAGGATTGTTAGATTTGAAAAAAAATCTTTTGATATATAACTGATTATCTGAAGTAAGTAATTTATATATTCTCTGAATTTCATACTGGAGAGAAACAAAAGATATAGTAGGTCAGATGTGTCCCTGTATGTAATATCAATACTTCATTAGCAGTATCAGTTACTTTGTTGAGAACTTTCAGCCTACCTCCCTCGTCTGAATTTATAGGACACAATATTCTTGTCTAATGACTTTGAGGATGAAACCTTGAATCAGAATGGCTGTATACACTAGTTGAATGGTTGTCTGTGAGGATATTTGGCAATGTGGTAAACACTTCTACATTGCATGTGGGCAGGGTGGCTTTAAGTTGAAGCATGAATTTGACAGAAAAAAAAATTCTTTTCAAACACGATTTCAGTAATCTGAGTTGAATTTTACATTGGTCTTGGGTGTGTGCTGCAGTATCTGTGTAGTTAGATGTCACTATGAAACATCATGGCTTCACTGCATGATAGAACACAGTACATCATGATCTCTAGACATGTGGGCATACGTACACATGGACGTATTAACATGGTGGCTTAGGACTGTTACTATGTATACTCAAACTGTATTTAGTGATATTATATTGGTCGTATAAATTGTACAATATTGTTTGTATGAATTGTAGTTCGGTGTATTGATAAGTGCCTTGAAGTGACTTTAATGTTAACCTAGCTATGGCTTCTATGTCAGACTTATTATAATACATCTTATATTCAGTACATTAAATCAAACTGTATATAGGTTTTATATACTGTGAATATGAAAATTATCTGTTATCAGGCTCTGAACACTTTGTACAGAAATTAAGATATCTAATTATAATTTATATTCATTTAATTATTTACATTTTTATGTATTTTTTTTTTCATTTCAGCCAAAATTGAACACAAAAGACCTGTTAGATCTGGTAGCATCACATTTTAAACTAAAAGAGAAAGAATATTTTGGGATTTATTATCTTGATGAGACGTAAGTACTGAATGGTTTTAAGTTATCAAAGTGGATCATAATGTATGTTGGATGTGCGCACTTTCCCCGTGTATAATTGTTGTAGTGGATATGAAGGATGGTCCTTGTTTTGTGAGGTCTTCTTATATTTCTCTGTTTCCTGAACGTATTAGATATACTTACAGTGGGAAGGTCATTCACCGATATATCAAGTCGGCATCATGTTATTAAAATATATCTATTTCTGTTACTGTTAACAACCGCTCGGGGGATCTTGTAGCTGTTTCTAATATCACCCTGTCCACAAACGATAACAATATCTTATTAAAACTAATTAGAATGTGTCCCCTCAAAATTCTGAGTCATTTAGATCAATTGATCCTGTTGATGAATTCTGAAATTGGGAAATCAAGTCAAAAAATAAAAAAAAAAAAAATTGTTGAAGTGAGATTTTTTTGTTGTAATAAACTGACCATAGAATGCTGCATGTATATAAGGACTGAATTTAAAATTTTGGATAATTTTTCCTTCAGTGTTGTTGACCATTACTTAGATCTGGATCCTAAAGCTGACAGATTCCATAGATACTGTGTTGTGATATATGAAACTATCAGAACATTAGGTCATAAGGTTATAAAAAGGAGACATTGGTTATATGTTAAGGTTAGACTTGTTTTTTCATCTGTTTCTGAGTCAGTTTTGAGTCTCAAGATTATTGTGCTGAATTTCTGATAAGTATTAAACTGAATTTTCCGCAAGCAGAATTATTTATTAAGATGATGTTTTGCTTCATTTCCATGGAAACAGAAGCAGTGGCAACTGGCAACATGTTCAGATACGTTGTTTAACCGCCTCCCCCCCACTCCTACCTCAACCCAATAGTTCTTCATGTATTAAAATGGTTATGAATTAATACTTAAGGGGTATCTGAATACAGCGAGAAAAAGGAAAATATTAAAGGCTAACTTAATTTTTGAATGTGTGCTTAGAAAGAGGATTATATTTGCTAAACTAGCAACTCAGGTATCGATTGTGGTATTTTATTGCAAATAACATATCATTCTGCACAGCTGTCACAGGTCTGGTACGAAAAGAAAACTTTGTAGGCTGGTGTGTACTGTCTGTAACATGGAGGATAGATTTAATACAGTTCAGGACTAGAGACCTGGGCATGTGTATGCTGCATGTAATACGGAGATTAGGCAGGGCAATAGGTGGACTGGCAGACCTTGTAGGCACAAATATACTGTATGTAATATAGAGGGTAGGTTGAATACAGGGCTGGGTGGGTTATAAAACCTTGTAGGCATGTTTATATTGTCAGTAACATGGAGGTTAGGTTGAATACAGGTCAGGCAGGACTGGAAAACCTTGTAAGCATGTTTATATTGTCAGTAACATGGAGGGTAGGCTGAATACAGGCCAGGCAGGACTGGAAAACCGAAAAGATGGATTGTGCTGTCTATAACATGGAGGTTAGGTTGAATACAGGACAGGCAGGATTGGAAACCCTTGAAGGCTTGTGTATATTGTCAGTTACATGGAGGTTAGACTGAATACACAGGTCAGGCAGGACTAGGAAACCTTGTAGGCATGTTTATATTGTCAGTAACATGGAGGTTAGGTTGAATACAGGTCAGGCAGGATTGGAAACCCTTGAAGGCTTGTGTATATTGTCAGTAACATAGAGGGTAGACTGAATACACAGGTCAGGCGGGACTAGAAAACCTAGTTGTTGTATAGTGGTATGCTGAGAAGGATTGTGCAAAATATACACAAGTGAATAATACATGTTAAAAATTCAAAATTAGATACAGTATATCCAAAAAGTGAATGAAGGTGAAGGTTAGGTTGATAATATATTGCAATACACATTACACATGGTATACTGAATGCAGCTGTGATATGCTTCATGTATGATGTACCTCACCTGTTATCTAAAAATGAGTTTAAAAAAACATTTCTGTCTCTTCCTATCAGACATAAAAACCCTTAGTCAGCTCTGTGTTTCTTACGTTTGCATATCATATATACATGATATTTTAGCCTATAGATAGGATTTGACATCCTGTGTGTTTCTAGGACATCAAAGGAAGGGTGTAAGGTCACAAGGGACATTCTTCACAGTTACAAAACATAAGATCAGGCAATGTTGGCGACATATTTGTAGTATGGTGATGTAGGGGAGGTAACTCAGATAGCCTGTTTAGACACTGAGGATGAATGTGTATGACAACCCTGGTTCTGGAGAGGATGATTTACGTAAATAAATATAACATGCCACAGATGGTATTGTCATTACCTACTCTGAATTTAGACATTAATTGATTCTACTCATACCTGTTTATCTTATCTCTTGACTCTTTTGAATCTTAAAGGTTATGTTTTGTTTGTTACCATGGAGGAAAATGTCATGGAGTTTAAGTGAATGACATATAAATTAGAAAATTACTGACATTAAGTATGTAAAGGGGAAGGAAGTGTTACTGACATCATGAATGTTGTCTGCAATATTTGCAGAAATGATGATTGTGTAATAAAAGGGTTCTTATGTTCATTTAATATCATACATGATTTTAAATCTTGTCACCATTACAAATTTTCATTTCGCTTGCCAGGGGATTACCATTTGAAATTGACAAATTCTTTCATGAATCTCATATGAAATGGAAGCTTATGTAAGATTCTATATGTTTATTATAAAAGGATGGGGAATAATAATCATGATAAATGTGTTGAAATTGTAACATATCTAAGTAAATTTTGTATATATAATGAATAATGATACAATGATATGGAGATTGTTTTTTTTAATTTCTTAAATATAACACAATCGATGAAAAATTCTAGGATTCCATTTATCTGTATAGTCAAAATGATTTGTGTTCATAGGATCAGGTGTTCACCTGTTCTAGTTGATCTTGTCATGAAACAAATTTGATAGAAAATGAAAGTTTTAATTTCCCAGATTTTCTCAACAGGTAAACAGACATTTAAAGCTAGCAGAATTTGTTTTAGGATTTTAAAAATTATACGCTTATTCTATTGTTGATTTTTGTTGATTGTTGACTTTTATAGTGTTTACTTGGATTGTAATTATGTAATCTTCAGGCTTTTTCTGTTTCTGCAATAACTACAGTTCATAATCCTTAAATACATTCAGTAATGTTATTTAACAGTTGTCATTTATTTAACTGGTGTTGAGGGTTGGTATTCAAGACTTCTCATCTTTATGCGAATTGCCAATGTCCGTAAATGTTATGTTATGAGCAAAGGAGCTGGTTATTTTCCTATATTTCAGAATGTGAGCAAGATGATTTCAATCATGTTCATTACGGTTATGTTTATTTAACACATTACAGTTGACCCAAAAAATTAAAAAGTCTCAATTGATTGACATATTTGCAAAATCTATATGTTCTTTCTTTAGCTGTGTAGCCTCATGATGAAATCGTCAAGTACTAGCATGCTCGACTTGTAATTTTAAAACAATTTATGATAAGTGGTGATTGTACGTATCGCCAAGTATTCTGAAGTATTCCATGTTTTTGGAAAATTGAAATTCATATTGTCTATTCTAGGAAAATGTATTGGTTTCAAATTTACTTTATGTAATCCACTTGTAATACAATAATGTACTTAGTGTGGTAGTACTTAGTGTGGTAGTCATCCTTTTGTGCTTGATCATAGATAGTCATAGCAAAGTGGAAGACTATTGACAGTGATTTACAGTGAAGTGTTTAGTCATATGTCAGAGTTGTTGATATTAAGTTGAGTGTTAAGTGGAAAAGCACAGCTGGAAAGGAAATTTTCAAAGTTACCTTGTTTTATGACTGCAAAATTTTTTGGTCCAAGGGGAATAACTCTGTCAATCTTAGCTGCAGGCAAATTCTAACACAGCACCTAAATGTCACAAAAATGAGTTGATAATTAAAATTAATAATTGAATAATAAATATTTATGAAATATTTTTTAATATAAAATTTTCCTTATTAATTTATGTTTTTTTTATTTTATTTTATCTTTAAGATATAAGGCATGAGGGAAGAATTTTCTTTAATGGTCATGTGATATACAGATATATTGTGAAGTTATGTTATGCAATTGAAGGTGATGTTATCTTGTTTCTGTCTATTTTTGATGTTGCATAAAGTCATCATATCCTTTTTTGAGAAATAAGGTCTGCTATGAGAGCAGGAGATGAGAATGGCATTGGTTGTAAAGACATACGGAGCATGTACAATAGATTTGTTATATAACACTAGACAAAGCTATTAGGTATTGGCCACTATATAATAGCTTTCTGTCTCATCAGCCAGCAGTTGTTGCCCTGAAATGAGCGTTACTGAGCTGTATGATTAGGGTCTGTAATTGTGGCTGTGTGAGAATTGCTCAAGTCTAACTGCCAAATCATGTCATGGCATTTAGCTAGAGACCTGTGAGGGAAGTATTGGTGTCTTTCACATACTTTATGGAATATCAGGACCCAGCCAGTTACTGTAATCAACACCACAATAAAAATGTATCTCAGGCTGCAGCCTAGGCTTTTCCTGAACGTACAGACAGAAAAACAGCAGTATATTCTATCGAAAAAATGAAGAGAAATGATCGTTATATAATTATGTCTGGAAAAAAGACTGTTTTTGAGATTGTTCAAGATAAAATGTAAGGAAATAAAGGGCTGTTGAGAGTTTTAATGATTATGCAAGGAAACTTACTTTAGCTGGTCACACAGGGAATTATATAACACTATCAACATGTTTTAATTTTCAAAAACAACAAACCATCCTGATATTCTGACAAATTTTACCTGAGATAGAAACTATTGACACAGCACTCTCATTTGTGATATAATTTACTAAATATTGGTGGAATTCAAATTTTGTATGATATAATTGCACAGCCATTATGGATTAGGGACAGAACAGAAACAGTTTGTAGATCTCCTATATTGTCATGTATTGTCTTGGGGGTATTGTACAAGTATCAGACTGGTTCTGACAAAGATTTCAGTATGTGAT